TATGTCGACGAGATCCGCTTTGGCTAATTAGGACCAGTAAGAGGATACTTGTTTGTGTCATGATTTGTCATGCTTCACACATGACTGGATTATGAGTCATGGGTCTCATGCATATGACTCACTTGAGTCATATGACTTATTTACATAATGATGTGTTATGATTTGCACATGACCTAATTATGTGTAACCAATACTGGCACTGGGTTAAGGGTTTTGTTTTAAATTTTGTATTAAGTATTGCTTTGATACTTGATTTTGTTTTATGTTTTGTTCTAAGTATCACTTTGATAATTGGTTTTGTTTTATGTTTTGTTTTAAGTATCGTTTTAATACTTAAGTAGTTTTACTAAAATGTATCGCCTGATATCTTTAATTAGTTACATTCATGCTAGACATGAACACATTTGTATATTTAAAGACCGCTTGTGTCCACAATGGAAAAGGCAGACTTCGACAGACAGTATTTCAATATACTTGGTTGAACGGTTACTCTTTTGTTTTCCAAGTACACCTTTGCAGCCTTCTTTATTTCACAGCTCTTATCCTCTCCCTTGTAGAGCAGGCTACCTGTCAACTATTGTACCTTACCCTGAAACGTAATTAGCATCTTGCGAACTCGTTAAAGTCACATAGTCCTAATACGATCCACCACAACCAAAATGCTATTATATCCTTTCAATTGGGGTAGGTCCATGATGAATTCTATAATGATTGTTTCTCATTACTGTCTGGGAACTTTGTTTGATTTGAGTAATCCATAAGGTGCATGTTTGACTGTTTTTATCAGTTGATATATATCACAATTTTGACATATCTCTTAACATCGTCCCGGTATAATACATTTGAGTTGTATGATATTATGATTATTGTTTGTAAACTTGATCTGTTTTGGAATTATATATATTTCACACATGATTTAAACTTTAAGTGATGATTATTATATTATATTGGAATTGTTAGTTGGATAGGAGCAAGCCATGTAAGGCTTATAATGCACACCATATAAAACATGTAGTCTTGGCATTTCAAAATGTAACATCTCACATAATCACAATATAAGTACTTTGTAGAATTTGTTACAAATTTCTTAGGTTTAATATACAGGATTAACAGTAACTGCAATATGAGACAATTTATGAGTATATATGTCAATACTTAATATCATAGATTTCATAACAAAGGTACCAATTTACAGCTTTCTCTTAATGATGTTCTCTTATCCTATTAGGAGCACCAGGATCTGATATCTAGGAGCTACTCTTAGTAGGATAACTTCACTCGGAATTGGAATCTCTGGTCTCTAACACCACCCTGCAGCCCTCTTATGGGGTCTACACATCATTATACATATCTATCTTAGTTGTGTCCTGTGATTATAATGCTACAAAATTGAAGGTATTAGAATAATACTATATAGGTCATTACTATCCATTCAACTGGATCCTGTTCACAGGATATATAGCAGGGGACCTTCAGTTAGGTCTGAAAAATAGAACAGAGTAAATCTGTCAACTACTCAGAGAGTTACTAGGCTTTAAAATTAGACTGTCTTTGATAAGAGCGGTAAGTAAGGGGATGTTTTGGCACCAAGACTTGATATTGAATGTTTGAGGATCTTTACAAAAAACCAACATATTTATATACACTTTATGATAATGAAGAAGAGTCTAGAACTCTTAGAGGCTACTACCAAAGAACTCAATAAACTTCGTAGAGTGTTACAGCTATGTTAAGGTATGTGTTACTGTTGTGAGAATTATCCTCATACCAGACAACTAAAGCCCTGTTACCTAAAATAACCAGAAGTTACAGACTGAGAAGCCATCTGCTAGTCTAGTAGAATGGCTTCCTGCGAATTAGTAGGAAGTTATCGGGAGGATATCTGTCAGTTGAATCAGGAGTTATTGATGTTTAAATTCAGCCACCTAGGAATGTTAATCTAGGACTACTCCTGCAAACATGATCTACAGATGCAACTGATCATTTCATCAGTAGGGGAGACAATTAAGACCAACATAGTTTGACTTGAAAATTAGGCCATAAGTCTAACAACTTCGAAGATTAGAATATTACTATTGGAAATAGTACATTTTCAAATAGGCAAAATAGTAATTACTGAAGTGAGTGTGATAGTTTTCAGGGTCTCCTAGTATTCATACTTCAGGAGAATACCTGATATTATGAGTTAGAGTTAGAGAGAAATATAATTTGTATAAGAAATAGATGTAGTCTGTGAATACGCAGACGTGGAATGTAAATATCGAAGTATTTCTGGAGCTTTTAGATATTATCAAGCTATGAAGGGGGGACCTTAACAATATAATAGTATTCCTGCAATTCTATTCCACGTTACTTTACTTTTATTAGTCATAAATAAAACGAGCAACCCTTCAAGCCTTCATAGACAAATCGCTGTCTATAAAATGAATCTCTATTGACCTAGATAAGTCTGAGTCTATACAGATTGTTTCCGCCTAACATATTCTATTAGGTGATAATTTTTAATAATATTTTATTTTATTTTTTATAACATACAGAAATTTTAAACTGTCTTTATAACATGGCAGTGAGATTTGTACCTGCCACTTACAGGATTTTCATATTCATGCAAGCAATAGACAATATTTGACCAATAGGCATCTTTTACTCTCGGAGTCTTTGCCCAGAATTTCCAAATAAGCACATTAGGAACAGTAGCCAAAGCTTCAGGAACTAATCACTTCAGAGATTTGAAATCATACTCA